TCAGCGTCAGCTTGATGCAGCCATAGAAATGATGCTAGCAGCGTGACACTGTGTAGCACACGATTGTCGTTAGTAGATGTTTTTAGCAAGCTACAGAAACACATTAGAGAAATACGACACTGTTCCTTTTCATACACGCGGTCTGTATTTGCGTACCCCACGTCGTACCTAGTTTTAATTGCAGAAACCGCTGAATCCGTAAGGTAACACGAGGATGATAGTAGCCAGCTAAGGTTTTGCAGAGTGAGCTAGTTCTGTGCCGTACACTAATTTTTTTTCCTTTTTGCTAGTATATATGTGCAAAGAATGCACAACTTTGTCAGTCACAATACTTCACATCCTGGTTTTTTCTGTCTTTTTGTCGAAATTGCGCAAGGGACGAGCGAAAGTGCTGAGCACACTTTCCCTGTTTTTTCTTCCACAATTTTCACCACCTCATGCCACCTTGGCAGGCATGAAAGCGGCCGAATTTCAAGGACTACTCTCACAAGGATTAAATCGCACGTAAATCACACGATGGTGGAAAATCACAAGCGAGGAGCATGCAAGTGCGATTCCGAGCGCAGTGCAGTCACTGCAATCGATGCTATTCTTTTTTTCTTTGATTGTGTCTCGAGTTAGACTGCCTTGGCTAAGAAAAATGATGCCCATGGTTACAGTATGCAGCTAGTCCCAGAAACATAAATAAAGCCTTTCCGATGCTTTTACGTACTGGAAATGTTTGTGCATGGGCACTCGTCCGTCGGTTCTGTATTGCCGCATTCGCGCAAAGTGTTTCCGTAGCTTGCTAAATACCTCTAGTGTTGTGAAGAAATACCATCTCGTGTGCAACAAAACAGAGCACAAACCTAACAAGTAAGCCACACTCATTTGTCAGCTGCACATACATTATTGTTGTAGCGGTCATTGCGTACGTTCTATTCTAGGGAAACAGCAGCAGACTTGAACACTTCGAGAGACGGCTATCAGTAAGCAGCAATAAGAAAGCATTAAAAAAAAGAATCGCTCTTTTTTTCGTAAAGTGGAGAAAAACGCAACATCGTTCAACAAGCAGCAGCTAACCGGTGACATTTGCCATCCCATCAGAAAGACCAGCGCTGTGAGCAGAAATCCTGACATAATCATTCAATGTCTTATTTCTGCTGGTCATTGCATTCAGATTTTTTAAATGATACCAACATGATGTTGGCCTGGTTTACTGTCTGGCTTGCCACTTCCAGTGATGATTATGCTATAGCGTTCCTAGCTGGGAAGTGTGAGTGCCAAGCGTCTGAGCATGCTACCTCGTGTCAGGGAAGTTCTTTTTAAAAAAAAGCACTTCCGTCTAAAAGGAATCTCGTTGCTGGTCTGCATTTGGGGTCGAATCGCCCAGTGTTTGAAAAGGCAAGTGTTATGTACCAGCGAGCTCTCCTTAAAACACTACCACAGTGTAGGCAGCCCCGTTCACTTTCACTTTCACTTTATTTCCTTAAAGACCCCGCAGGGGGGTGTTACATAAGGGGTGGGTTGTACAACAAATATACAAAACCCACAGGTTAACATTGCAGATGCATTGACACACTTTGAATAAAACGTGATGGACAGGTGATTGAAACAACATCGTGGGGAAGGTCATTCCATTCTTTGGCGGCGCGGCAGAGAAATGATGCAGAAAATGTTGAGGTGCCAGATCGGGGTCGGAAGACTTGAAGTGGATGGCCAGTGCGGGGAGAAATGCGTGCGGCGGGAGCGATGTAAGGTGGTTGGTGGAGTGAGCTGTGATACAACTTGTGGTACAGTGACAACGTAGCAATTCTGCGGCGAAGTGAAAGACTTAATAGACCGGATTCATTTTTAAGAGATGAAACACTGACATCGTAAGAATAAGAAGAATGAATGAAGCGAGCGGCACGATTTTGAACTGCTTCGATAGCGTTGATCAGATAAACTTGGTGAGGGCTCCAGATGGGTGATGCGTATTCAAGTTTGGACCGGATTAGCGACTGATAGGCCAGAAGACGAACGTGATACGGTGAGTGACGTAGGTGACGTTTTAGGAATCCTAATGATCGGTTGGCTGATGAAATCATGTTAGTGATATGCGTTCGCCAGGAAAGATCAGGGGTTAATGTTACAAAGATACTTATAGGATACGGCTGTTTCGACTGGTATGTTAGCAATTTCATAGGAAAATTGGAGTGGGTTTTTGCGGCGGTGGAAGGAAACTAATTTGCATTTGTTAGGATTAAGGGTCATAAGCCAATGGTCACACCAGTTTAATACTTCATTAAGGTCATTCTGTAGTGCTGCTTGATCAAAAGTGTTGGTTATTTTGCGGTAGATGACACAATCATCTGCAAACATACGAAGGTTGCAGGATAAATTGTTAGGTAAGTCGTTAATGTAGATTAGGAACAAAAGCGGGCCAAGGACAGATCCCTGTGGCACTCCAGACCTAACAGGAAGAGAGTTAGATTTGACGTTGTTAACGAAAACAAACTGAGAGCGGTTAGTCAGAAATTGAGCAATCCAATTAAGAAGTTCGATCAGCTGGTAGATTTATTTGAGAAAGTTTTTTTAGTAGGCGCTGGTGTGGAACTTTGTCAAAAGCTTTAGTGAAGTCAAGAAAAATAGCATCAGTTTGGAGGTTACCATCGAGGTTAGCATGCAGGTCGTGAAGGAAAAGGGCTAGTTGGGTTTCGCATGGGCGGCCTTTTCGAAATCCGTGTTGAGAGGAATGAAAAAAATTGTTAGAATCAAGAAAATGCACGATATGAGTGTATATGACATGTTCCATGAGTTTGCAACATACACTGGTTAATGATATGGGGCGATAATTTAACGGGCAGTCTCTTTTACCTGTCTTGTGAACCGGAATGACCTTCCCACACTTCCAGTCGAGAGGCAGAATACCTGAGGAAAGTGACTGGGAAAACAGCAAAAACAAAAACTCGGCTGATATGTGCTTTGTGTTCTTTAACAGCTTGGATGTAATTTCGTCGGTACCCGCCGAGGATGAGAGTTTCATTTTTTCTATTAAAGACAGGATACCATTGAAACCTATGTTAAAGGGTGGCATTTCAGGCAGATTAACAGAGACTAATTCTGTTTCAACGGGGTCAGATTCATTCGTAAACACAGACGAAAAGGCGGCATTGAATATATTGGCACATTCTGAACAACTTAATTCTTGACCAGTATCATTAGTAAGGGTGATGGGGGGCGTGTTAGGAGGGTTTATTATTTGCCAGAAACGCTTCGGTGAGTCAGCAAGAATTTTCGGAAGTTCCGTATGAAAAAATGAGTACTTGGCGTTGCGCACTTCACTTAAATATGCTTTCTCGGCAACCTTGTATTTTTCCCATGCAGAATCAGTGTTTTTATTCTTCGCAGCCCGAAAGAGGCGTTTCTTCTTATTTTCAAGCCTTTTTAATGTTTTAGTAAACCAAGGTTTTTGGCGGGTGGGACGAAAGCTTATTTTAGGGATAAATTGGTCAGCTAGCTGGTTTAACTTGTTTTTGAAGATTAACCAGTTATCGTTAATGGGTCGCTCCCAGAAGCCATCACGGAACGTCGGAAGAAAAACTTCAAGTTCTCGGGTGATGGCCGCGTAGTTACCCTTGTCATATAACCTAATAGTTTTAGTACAGGCTTGGCGCATTTGAGGAACGAAGGTAAAATTAGCGTGAATGACCTTATGGTCACTTATTTCATCAAGATATGTTATAGAAGAAAGGCTCTCAGGATCAGTTGTTAAGATTAGGTCAAGAATGTTAGCAGTATCTCGAGAAACACGTGTAGGTTGTGTTATCAACTGAGTGGGATTAAAGTTGAGGCAAACATCAAGGAAATCGTTGGCCTCCTTAGCATTGGGTGCTGATGAAGTTAGATTACACCAATCAATGTTAGGAAAATTGAAGTCCCCCAGGAGGAGGACGTGAGCATTTGGGTATTTGGTCGTAAGTTCGGCTAAAATACCATTAAGCTGGCGCGCGAAATCCGGGCTACTTTTGGGAGGCCTATAACAAACACCTAATAGTACGGAATGTGGTACGGAACGAAAAAGCAACCACAATATTTCTAGGTCGGAATCAATGTTTATAAGGGAGCATGAAAGTTGTTCGTTAGTAGCAATCAGGACGCCGCCGCCCCGGGTGCCGGGACGATCTTTTCGAAAAAGATTAAAGTGAGGCAAGTCGGTCAAAATTTCGCTGTCGGTGACGTCAGAGGTCAACCACGTTTCAGTTAGTATAAGTAGGCTGCTGTTAGATGAAGATACAAGGTCGGACACGTGGTCTCGTTTGGAAAGATAGCTACGTATGTTGGTGAAAATGACCGAAAAAGAAAGATTGGCTTTGTGACCAAAGACGGGACAATTAGAAGATCTGGGGCGTGAAGGCAACTGCTACGAGCTTTCTTCTACATTTTCAGTTGCCTCGTTAAATACGTATCGTTTGGAGCCCATAAAAAGGGTCTTATACCGTAAAAGGAAGGGACCCGTTTTTACTTTAGCAAAAGCCAGTAGGTGCTTCCGTGCGTTCCGGACCCGATGCGAGAAATCCTCCCCGATGCTAAAATCTGTATGTTTAAGCTGGGGGCCCTTAGCAAGGACGGCTTCCTTGGTTTTGAAGGATGTGAACTGCACTATAATAGGCCGACACCGGCCTTGCGAGTGGCGGCCAAGACGGTGGGCACGCTCGACATCCTTGGATTCGACAGTTATTTTTAGGTGGTCCCTACAAAACCCAGTAATACGCTCCTCAGACTGCGCATACGTTTCGGATGGCTTGTCGTCCGCTAGGCCGTAAAACAACAAGTTGTTTCGTCTGGAACGATTCTCCGCGTCGTCCAGTCGAGCCTCCAGTACAGAGACCTGGGTAGCTGTCTGGGAGGTGGCAGTGGCCATGGCGTCAAGATCAGATCGGAGTGTATCGACACTACTGTAGTGGGATTCTAGACTGGCATTACTATCGTTAAAGGCATTACTATCGTTGCAGTAAATAAACAAAAATGCGGCTCACTCTGACGCTGAGAGAGCTGACGGACTCCTCGAAGCGTTCCTCGTCAGCATGCATCAGCTTCTCCACGGCAGTCCAGTCCAGGCCTGGACCAGACATCTGCGATAAAAGGGAGAGCAAGTGAGAAAAAAACTGGAACGATGTGCATACACATTATAGGTGTATTCATACACCACTTCCAAGCTTTTCACAGCCCATGTAAGTCACATTTACCAAATAGAGACTTTTCATGTCATTATTCATAAAGGTGTACCACATTCTGTCCCATCAGACATTGCTGCAGTCGCGCTTCACTGTGACGCCAGGAGTCAAGCAGACTATACATAGTCTGTCCAAGGTTATAAGACTGGGTGCGGCAAAAATAATTCATTTATCCTATCGATATATAATGCCACGTGGGTAGCAATGCCACTGCATCAGCAGCGTCAAAATGACATCGAATGGCTAAAGACGACAATGTTATTATATTGTGGCGCTCACACTATCCTGTTTTGTCGGCCTGCATTTCTGTGCGCTGTGTTAGCTGAACCAGTGCCAACTCTTAACACTTAATTATTTTTTTTTTTTTGTGAAGGTTGCGGGTTCTATTTTCCAACTCTGGATCTCCACAGTGCTAACTCAATAAGCACTGCCCGTAACAAAATTATATGAGTTTTAGGAGGGAAGCTCCTTAAGGCGTGGGTCTGTACATCCTCCAATGTTGTTGTTGTTGTTGTTGTTGTAGTTGTAGTTGTAGTAGTAGTAGTAGTAGTAGCAGTAGCAGTAGCAGTAGCAGTAGTAGTAGTAGTAGTAGTAGTAGTAGTAGTAGCCCCAGTGGCACATACCTGCTCTAGAGCGGGTATGTGCCACAGGGGATTTGAAATGGGAAATGGCAGTACTTGAAGTGTTCACTATATGAACGCAGTATTGAACGCACAGACGGACTAGTAGACGGACTAGCAGACGGACGGACGGATGGACGCACGAACGCACGGGCATATGAACAAATGCATGGACAGACGGATGGATGGTCGGGCGGATGAACGGATGGTGGTGCGGACGGACGGACAGAAGCATGGATGGGCTGACGGCATGCTTTTGCCCCACTCATCATCATTCACTTTGTGGATATGCTGTGATCTTTTTTAGTCAGTATGGTATTCCAGTAACGCAAATGCATAGCGTCATGCCGAACAATGCGTGCCGTAGCTGCCACCACGTCAAGTGATGCCATCTATGAAATATAAAAACTAACACCCACATAGTCTACATTCTCTGAAACCCGAGGTGCTCCAATCACTTAGTCTACAGCAACGATATTTATAGCATGTCTCCCAAAAGCGGTGCCACAATAACACAAATACATTGCTGTCATAGCTCCAGCACATGAATCTAAAGTATAAAAACATCATGCAGTTTCCTAATAATAAAGAAAAGAGAAATCTGGCGCTAGGGTCTATGGGATATACAACTTATGGGGCTTCAGCTAGCACGGGAATAATGAACTTATATGGTGCTTACATGGGTTAGTCTAAGCTTCGTTCTTTTGACAGAGTGACCTGCAGTCATTTGGTCACAAGACAAAGTTCAGCAGATGTTCAGCAGTTCAACTTCAGCACTATGACCAGTTTCAGGCTCAGCAATAAAAATAGGCTCACTAAGTTCACAAAAGTCTATAACAGTGCCCTATAGCTATGATGCATTGTCACTTGAAAGACGTAGCACAACGTTAAAACCAAAAATATTGAAGATAAGACATAAAGAAAAAGAACTCAAAACTAAGAGTATTTTCCAGAAGCGTTCGCATTATAAAGGCTCCTGTATGGCATGCGCAAAACTCACTGCACGTGCAGGAAGGAACAGACAAGGCATCAAACTCAGAGAAAGAAAGAAATGAATGGAGGGAAGGGCAAATAGATGCGATCTGAAAAACAATACTAAATAAAACCAAGATATGTCTCATCCTTGTTTTTGACCTTGCGCCGCCACGCCTTTTATGTGACACAAGGATAAACTTTTTTCTATTCCGAAACAAAAGTGAAAAAATACACCAATTCCCTCTAAGAGAATCATATCTGGATGCAAAGCATTGGCTGAGGTGGTGAATGGCACCCACAGAAGCTTGCTCATGTCGCCTCAAGCAGATGCGACAACATTCAGAACCTTTATTTCTACCTGACTAACGCTGCCGGTGACCGCTGCCGTGAACGCTGCTGGTGATTGTGACTATAGCACTGCTAAACAGTCGGTCCCTCAACACATACACCAGAGACATCGTACGTGATCCCGCGCTAAGAAACGTGAAACACCGCAAGACCGACTATCCTGTCTATGAGGAAGCGTCTCGTTGCCTTCGCCCCTGACTCGGGAGAAAGAGCATTGGAAAGGAGAGAGGGGATAAGTACTCGTATGTGCTGGGGGTGTGGAGGCCACAAGAGGAGAGAGGGTGATTGCAGGAGGAGAGAGAGGAGGGGAAGCACATGTCCCAGTTGGGGGTGGATGCCGCGGTAGGGAGGGAGAAAAGGAGGGAAGAACATAGCCTCCAACTTAAGTCACATAAAAAACAGCGCCAATAATGAGGGACAAGAAAAAAAGAAGAGAGACAGCAGCACTGACTTACAACAGTGGCACTGACTTACAAGAAATATTTATTTGCTGGAACCGTGTAATATATACTTGAGCAGTATCTGACAAACAAGAGAAATGACAAATCAAAGAATACATAATTCACCTAACAACCGAGTAATCATCGTGATAATGCACCATGAACATCACGTGTGCCAACGTTCTGAAAAAAATCTGTTTCTTTTTGTGATAGAACGTTTGCACACGTGATGTTCATAGTGCGTTATCACGATGATTACTCGGTTGTTAGGTAAATTCTCTATTTTTTATTTGTTATTTCGTTTATTTGTCAGATACTGCTCAGGTATATATTACGCGGTTCCAGCAAATAAATCTTTGTTGCAAGTCAGTGCTGCTGTCTCCTTCTCTTGTCCTTCGTTATTGGCGTTGTTTTTTATGTGAATCATGTCGTACCAACTTGGCCATGCAACTATGTTAGCCCCAACATAAGATTCTTTGCGTCTAAAAAAAATGACAAAGAGCAAGCACGAAGATTGGGCGAATCTATGTCCTAATCATCATCATCATCATAATCAGCCTAACTACCCCCCCCCCCCCTGCAGGGCAAAGACCTCTCCCACGATCCGCCAATCAGCCTGGAAATCCATATACTACTGCCATTCTAACGGTGTCTGAACCATTTCAGCACCGCAGTTCCCTCTAGTAAATATTGTAGGAAATTCCACACCTTATATGTTAGCGGATTAGCTATTCACGAGTTAGAGCGATATAGCGCAATGGATAAAGCAAAAACGAATGGCTTCATGGGCAGTCCACACGTCAAAACTGGCTTTCGAACTCTGAAGAAGATGGGTCTTTGAGCCCAAAGGTTGGTTTCAGCAGTATTTCTAGTAGCACCATTGGCTATGAAATGGTGTATTCTTTGTCGGGTTGTCTCACGATAATTTGCAGAAACAAGGGTGAAATCTCAGGAAAATGTAGAGCAGTACACGCCTGTTTTTCGCGCCTTGATTGGTCTTTCAAGAAAGCCAGGGACAAAATTATAAAATTCTCGCACTAGTTTCGCTGTGCCGGAAGAAAGAGCAGAGCGGGTTGGCCTTTCATGTTTCTCTTACTCTTTGCTCCAACTTGTACTGCTGACTGGGCAAGTTGGTGCATGATGATGCTTTAGCGCAGCTCAATTTAAGCGTGAAGAGAACATGATATATGGTCAAGAAGGGGAAAAAAAACACACCACAGTATGAACACTAACTTCCAACTTTCGTTAATTGCGTGACCCTATGAGCATATAGCATCTTTCCTTTATGCTCAAACTGAACTGTGCTAAAGCAATGAAATTTCATCTCTCTGCTCCTTGCATCACATTTTCTGTTTCACTTTCTTCAATTTCTTACTCTATCCCCTTCAATTATTTATCGCTTCCTCTCTACTTACATATTTCGCCCACTGCTATACTCTCTCTCTCTTTCTTATTTTCTTTCTTGGTTTCTGTTGTTTTGTATTGCGATGGCAATTATATGAATACTCTCGGCTGGATTTCGCCATCGACATCGACGAACAAAAACATCCAGAAGAAAAGACTCCGGCGCGCGGAATTGAACGTGGGACCTACCACTTAGCCATCGAGGGACACCTCCTTCGTCATTCGAACGGCATGCTATTTATATCCACTTACCGCGGTCGGCGGGCATCTCGGGGTGGGGTGGGGGAACTATCATGTTTTAAGCATCATAGCAAGACGGCGCAATGAGTGCGCGGCGGCTCTCATCTCTGACAAGTACTTTGGCACACGGGGATGAAGGGAGTGGACGATCTTTTGCGCGCCCTTATCAACCAGTGGGGAGGATCATCTTGGTTGGTGTTGGACTTGCACTGGAACAATTCTGTTGTAGTTACGGGGTGCACAAAGGTCACTGCAATCCTTGTACAGTATCCGTTTGCAAAAAGGGCGCGCTTTTTAGACGCAGCAAAGTAACAACTGAGACGCTTATTCGCGTTCATCTGTACACTGTCGTCCTTTATGAAAGGGAATACGGGAACGTGTGGCCTGCACTCTGCGGCAGCTGCCTACAGCACCATCAACAGACAGCATAAGAAAACACATTCGTTTTCAGCGTCACCTGTTGTCAAAAGAATAGTAAATAACGAGTTATGGCCGGAAGACAAGCGCTGCTACATTGCACTCCATCTCTGCTCACGTCTGCAGTGCGTAGCCCACTGCCAACATATCCAACGTTGCGCGCGACCATGGCGCAAGCTGCAGTAATCTACCGATATCGCTCGCCGCACGAGCGGTGAGGGAACGTAATCTAGTAGCGCTTGTGTACCAGCCACGACTTGTTATCTTGCTCGGCTATAGATGACGCCAAAAGCGAACGTGCTTTCTTCACTTGTCGCTTGATGGTGCCATGCCGTAGGCGGCCGCTGCAGAGCACAGGCCACGCATTTGCGAGTTCCCTTTCATAAAGAACGACAGTGTACCTGTGAGTACGTTTCGTGCGTCATTTGTGCGTGAGAAACGTGGGGCACATTTC